TTGGCACAAACCACCGAGGGCACCGAAATCACCATCAACTGCTCACACTCCAACATCCAGTCAAACGAATTGATCTACTGGTACCGTCAGCTCCGGGGCCGAGGCCCCGAATTCCTCGTGAGCATTCACAAAGGCTCCAGAGATCTGCCGGACAAGACGGGACAGGTGTTGGTGTCGCCAGACCGTCGCTGGAGCTCCCTCTGGCTCTCCGGGCCCCGTGCTGGGGACGCGGCGGTGTATTACTGTGCCCTGGCAGACACGGCCAGAGGAGCCGGGGCTGCGGCCGGGCACGAACCGCCGCGGGCGGGGCCGGGCGGGGCCGGGGGCACAGCGCCGGCCGGGGCCAACAGGGCACATGCTGCAAATCCCACCTGAGCTCAGGTTCACTGACACCATTGTCTTTGGAGCTTTTCATTGTGTCTACAGCTGAGCAAAGAAACATCCCTGCATGGACTAATCCTTTACTCAGTTGGCATCATCTGTCCTGGCTGTTTCTCCTCTCAGCATCTCCTGCATCCCAGGCCTACTCACTGTTGGGGCAGCATGCAAATCAGAGAAGGCCTTGATGTTCTGTGAGCACTATTGAGCTGCAGCTAAAACATCCCCCTGTCAGTGTCATCAGCACTGCTTGATCACAAAGAGAAAACACAGCACTGTGCAAGCTACTATGAAAAAATTAACTCTATCCTACTAAAAACGAGTACAGCTTGTTGACCTGCCTCAGGTTCCTGTCAGCCCATTTCTCCAGCCTGACGAGGTCCCTCTGGGTGGCAGCACAACCATGTCGTGTCGCAGTCTGACAAGGGAGAATCAAGCTGTTCTGCTGCTGAAGCCAACAACCATCTCAAACCCCCTCCTCTGGTGCCAAGCCACGACCACCCCCCTCCCATTAGGTACCCCAATCAGAAATAAAAGATATTTATGACTAGAGCCACTCAAACATAAAGAAAATGGTATAAAAGTAAGCTGGGGGTAGGAAGAAAGTGGGAGAAGACCTCCAGCAAAACTGCTAGGGTCAGTCAACAGGATGAGCCCATCTTCTCCCCCCACAGAGGGACATCTTGGGTGAGAAATACATTCTAGTGCGTTGAATGCTGCTTTTAGAACTAGAGCTTGTGTTTGTGCTCACCCTATGGCATATTAGTAAATTGCTTTGTATTAGAGCTTGTGCTTGCTTAATATATGTATCAGTAGATTACTTAAAATGTATATTTGCATTAGACACTATTGCCGACAACCTTCAAACCTTATTAACCTGTCACAATTTGTATTAAAAAAGTTCTATTCCATGAACTGCTGAAGTGAGTCCTTACACTTGCCAGCAGTGGAAAACACCTTGGCAGGACCTGCTGAGGGATTTTCGCTCTGTTGAGCCCCCCCCCCCGAAAGGGTGGTTGAGGTGCCCTCCAACCTTGTGAATCTGTTGGTGAAGGGTCTCATTATGAGATGCTGACAGACTGTCAGGCACCAGGATCTCAACTTTCCTGGGGGTACCAACAGGCAAAACTCTAAACTCCCACCTTTCACATGACAGGATTCTTTTTATCGATCCTCAAGATCATGGCTGAAGATGTTAAAGAGGACTGGACCCAACACTGACCCATGGGGTGCATTGCTAGATCCTGGCCTCCAGCTACACCACTGCACTGCACCAGTTGACCCACATACTGCTGACCTGTTTAAGGGTACTTTAATTTGCAGATTAGATGCAGAAGCTACCAGCTCTTGCTGGCAGCCAAAAGGTTTCTTCCATACAGAGCAATTACTGTAAATATTAATACCAGTGGAGTGGCAAGTGAAAAAAATAATGGGCATGAGAATGGGTGTGGAATGTCAGTAGTGCTGGAGGTAAAACCAACAGAGATGGCCCAACACTTGGCAACAGCAGTGTGAGCTGCTCATTCAGCAGACTTAAGAGCTCTTCCTTATTGTATTGGTCATCCAGTTCCCACAGGGACAGTGTTTCATGGTCCATCATCATGGCTAGGCTTCGTGAACGAAGATTTAGGAAGGCTAATGTCTAGAAAAAGGAAGCCTCTAGTTCCTAACATTTTGAGAAGGTTCACTATAGCTGAATTAACTGCTGGCATTATGTTTTCTTTCATTCTATTTATAGTAACGATTGTTATGCTATTGTTATTACCGGTACTGGTTCTATTTTTATCTCATTATTACTGTTCTCTCTGTATAGAAAGGCTCTCTCGTGGCCACAGCAGGTCCATGTGTGCAATATGGGTGAAGTCCGACTATCCCTAGACTAACAGAGGATGACTGCAGTAGCAATCTTCCCTTTCTGTGGAATGTTGTTTCATCCTGGAGGGCTGTTAAAGTGCATGTTTGCTGCCTAGTTCAGGATGTGTAAGGGTCTTCTGTGACACCATTTCAACAACTTTTAGCTACAGCCCCTTGGTGACATCTTTGAATGTCTGCTGAGATGGTCTGAGCAGATGTAGAAGGGTCTGCCCATGGAATAATTGATGCACGTGTCCAAAGACTTTGTGCCATTGTCACCTGCAGGACAATGCCTACATGTACTGTGTGACCACAGAAGCTCATCAGTCCCTTGGGTTCCCAACACTGAGGTTGTGTTGGTGGAAAGACTTGTCTTAGAAGGCCTTGGCCTACAGAAGTGAGCAGCATTTTCCAAACCCTGGAGAGACTGGCCAGTGGTGACTTTCACAACTTGGCCACTCTTGTTTCACAGCAGCCCATTGCAAACTTTGACATGAGGCCCCTGTGACCATTGTTTATGCCTGATGCCCTGGCATGTGCCCCTCCAGCCCAGCATTCTCTGGGCTAAGCGCTGCCTGATGCTGCCAAGGCAGCTGTTCAGTCTGGCTGCTGCAGGTGCCAACGTGTGGATTTGCTTTGCCACCAGCAGACTGACCTCTTGTGAGGAAAAATGGGCACCTACATTTCAATCCCAGGAAACACTGTCTTTGTTTCCTTTTCAGCAGTTTCCCATGTGGGCAGGGCAGTCGTAGAATGAGCAGCCACTACAGATGGCATCAATCTATGAAACAGTGACAACGTTCAGCCAGCCAGCTAATGCACCAGGGTGGTGGTTTCCCAGCATCTGAAACTGTGGTAAAGATAAGAACACGCATCAGGACAGACACCACACGGGTGGCAGTTCCAGGCACATCCACTAGGATTTGCCAGCTCAGTTTATCCTGTGTCGGGGAAGTGGACAGCACAGCTCATTGCAGATTGTCCTGAGCTGGGTACAATCCAATATAAACCTGTGCCCTCCCATGTGTCAACTTATTAAAGGTTTCTCAGAGTTGTCTCTGGAAAACAGCCTCCTGTGGTTAGGACCACTGAAGGCACTAAAACCCTTGGTGTGTTGCCATGAGCAGGTTGAAGTGATGATGCTGCATTTTCAGGCGTGTTTCTGGGTGAGGATCCAAACGAGGTCTGCCATGCAGGGATGAGTAGGGCCTGTACTGACTCTGTGATGTACTTTCAGTCCAATGTCTGCTATACTGCAGTGGCCTGGTCCTAGAAACATCTTAATGGGTTCATGCAGCACATGGTGCTGAGGAAGGGCCAAGGTCTTCCATCCTCACAGGTCCTGTTGCCCTCAAGAAGTTTTCCCACAAGGCCGACCATAACTTCTCTGTGCTGGGCATCACCCCACTGGAACTGAAGTACACCTTCTAGTGTCCTGGTGGGGTTGACAGAAAGGACACCCAAGGGTGCCCTGATGATGTCAACTACTTGCTCTTTAGCACCTCTGGGCATCAGAGTTGTCACAGGCCAGAGCAGTGCCAAGGCAGTGACGAGGCTGTGCCTGGAGCACAGTTGGGTGATGGTGGGCCAGGGTGAGGTGAAAGGGGTGCAGACAGGCAAAATGTGGTCAAAAGCCACAGAAGGTGAGAAGAAGAAGTTGTGGCTACGTGGACTTCCATCTCTGTGGGGTTTTTCCTACCCTGGGAGGACCCAACTCCTAAGGATCCCAGCATTTACATGAAGCCCCAGCACCTCCCTATCAGCAGTTCCCACTATCCACCCAGACCTGCTGTTTTTCTGTGTGGAACTGGGCAACAGAGAGTCTGGTGACAGGGGTCCCATCAGGACAGGCCTGTAGGACACAAAGACAGCAACATGGAGCAAAGAATGGGAGGGAAGATTAGGAGTTGAGGGCTGGGTGATGGACAGGTAGCTGTGTCCTGTGAGGAGAAGGAGCACGGGCCAAGGCAGTAGGAGTGGGAGAGTCACTGCACAAATTACCTGCAAAGCCTTGAATGTGCCTATGAGAGTGTCACGGAACCACAGAAAAATGGAAGTTGGGAAGTACCTCAGGAGGTCATCTAGTCCCTCCTACCTGCTTGAGTAGGCTCAGCGAGAGGTGGTTGCCCAAGACCACGTCCAGACAGCTACAGACTATCTCAAAGCATGGAGACTCCACAAACTCTCTGGGCAACCTGTGCCAGTCCACAGTCACCATCACGGTAAAAATGTGCCTCCTGATGTTCAGAAGGAGCATCCTGTTTTTTAACTGTGGTGCATTGCCCTCCGACCTGTGAGTGAGCAGCACTGGAAAGAGCTTGGCCCTGTCTTTGCATTCTTTCTTCAGGCGTTTCTATACAGAGATAATGCCTTCCCTTCTCCAGGGTAAGCAGTCTTGACTGTCCCTGACTTGCAGCACAAACCTGCCTGTCTCCTGGTCCCCAGGGCAGGGGATGGGGGCAATGCCAGGGCGGGTGGGGTGCGGGGCAGGAGGAGGGTCCTGGAGGGGACGCTGCGGGCCGACAGCCCGTCCCTTGGCTGGGGCCGGGGATGGGGCCGCCCCGGCTGTACGGGGCCGAGGCGCCGACACCTTCTGAAGGGCTCATAGGGCGACAAGGCGGGACAGCGCTGGAGCCGCGCTGGGAGCCCCGGGACAGGAGCCTTCATCTCCCGGGGCGCTGCTCCTCTGCCTACGCTGCTGCCCGCGTCCCTCGCCGCGCCCCCCTTCTCCTGAGTCCCCCC